CATTTAATAAGTAGAGTGGTGCTTATAATTCCAACAGTTTAAATAATAACAACTACATTTCAAACCCTGGAGGAGCTATACTGCTTTATGATGGCTTCAGATTTACAGGACACTTTCCCACACAGTCATTCAATCCTCCAACAGGCAGTGAAGTGTTATTATTAACCCCAATTTACAGGGAAGAAAACTGAAGTTCAGAGTCTCAACTGCCTCTGAGACTTTATTTCTTTCAATTTCATCACTTATTTCCACTCACATTCATTGGACTTTTCCCAGTAACACCGGGCTAAAGAAACTGGATTCATCATACTTGAAATAGTTGGTATGGGAACATAAGATCTGCAGTGACGTGGATGAGCCTAGAGTTTGCCATACAGAGTGAAGTAAGTCAGAAAGAGGAAAACAAATCTTGTATATTAGCACGTATACATGGAATTTCAGGATAACTGTACTGAGTAACCTATTTGCAGGGCAGGAATAGAGAGGCAGATATACAAAATGGACATGTGGACACAGGCTGGAGAAGAACAGGGTAGGGTGAATTTCAAGAGCAGAACTGACATATATATACTACCATGTGCAAACAGACAGCTGTCTTGGAATCTGCTGTATATATAACACAGAGAGCTCAGCTCAGGGCTCTGTGATGATCTAGAGGGGCTGGGGTGGGGAGTGGGTTAGAAGGAGGTCCAAGAGGGAGGTATATGTATGCATATAGCTGACTCACTTTATTGTACTGCAGAAATAAACACAACATTGTAAAGCAATTACACTCCAATAAAAAAGATTGTACCTTTTCTTGCTTTTTCTGTGCTATTATAAGAATGGTTTCCTATTTTCTGAGTCTTTCAAATTCTCTGATTTTTTTTTTCTTTAGCTCTTAAACCGCAATTTGCTAAAAGAAGACAGATTTTAATTGACATGTCACATTCTACCCTATTCATTATGTCAGACCATGGGAAGCTGTGGACTTTGTCATTATTACCTTTTATTATGTACTAATTGCATAAGACTCTGCCTTCTTCATTCATCAGAGAAGCCTCTCTAACCCACTCAAATTAATCTTTGACCAAGTTTCCTGGCTTTTGGAATCTCCCAAAGGAAAGGAAACTTGTCTTTTTTAGGTCACCATGCCCTTCCATCCTGAGTCCTGTGTATGGATTGAGTTACCAATGAGCTGGATCCCCATGTGGATTTGTGAGGCAGGCCTGGCCACAGAATGAATTAAAGGATCTTACAAGGTGACTCCAGACCCATCTCTGTAACTCTGTTTCTTTCCTTCTTTTCTACAAGGTCCAACCTAAGAAAAGAGAACTATAGAACAAATGTACACCATTCCCCCACCCCATCTTCCCTTTCCTTTGAGTATTCCCACTGATCTGGTAGTGGAGGGATCCCATTAGCACTGTGTGGCAGCCCCTCTGGTGACGGTGCACACCCTTGGCCCACCTCTCATTTCAGCTGTAGCTGTAGCAGGGGGTCATGCAGAAGCTCAGACTCACTTCATACCGGCACCTGTCCTTTCAAGAGCAGGCTGCACATCTCTGCTTTTTGCCCAGAGCTTCTCCAAGGCCACAGCAGACCACACGGCCTGATTCCACTGGGACTAGCAAAAGCACAGCTCAGAAGTGCAGGGACATTAATGCCCCCAGAGTGACCCTCAACCAAGGGGAGCCAGAGGTCAGTTAATAATTTCTCCAGTGCCTGGTGCCTCGGTGGACAATTCTCTCTGCTTCTCCCAGTGCAATCAAGCTCGCCTTGCCCACAGCAGTGATCTCTATAATTCACCTCGTCTTGGTTTTTCCTCCTTCCCTGTCTTATCACCCCAACGCTTGGCTTCTGCTCCCTAGGATCATCTCTCACATGAAGTCTGCACACAATCCTTGCTTCAGGCTCTGCTTTTCAGGGTAACCATTAATATAGATGGAAAGGCTTCCCCTTCTCCTTAAGCAAAGCCTTCTAGAGGGGCCCACAGTCCTCTCTGGAAGCAGCTGAAAGGCCTCATTCACGAGATCATTAGTGTATCCACAGTCCATTAGTGAGTGTTCATCAGTATTTGTTGAGTAACATTTATGTTACTTTCTCAATGTCTTAAATTAAATGTCAATGTCTTGGGATTTAATTATGGCCTTTCGGGTGACCTGCAGGAAGGGGGACCATGCCCAGGACCACCTAAAAGTCACATCATATGTCAGGTGAGTACCACTGAGTCCAAGTTGCCACTTCCTCACATGATGACTGTAGAGATTTGTGGACTTGAATTCTAGGGGTCCTAGAATTCCCAGCCTAATAATCTCCTTTTACCAATGTTGGTTAATGGAAATATGGGGTCCAGAGCCAGTTCTCTAGACTCTTTCAACTTTCCCCAATAAAAATGAGAAGACAAAGCCCTTCCAAGTCATTCTAGACTTTGGACCTTTGCATTTACATTTCCTTTACCCAGAATACTTCTTCAGATTAAGACTGTCTTTTTTAGCTCAGTTGTCAACTCCTCAGAGGCCTCCCCTGACCACACAAGTTAGAGCAGCTTCCTCCTTCCAGTTGCTATGACATCACCCTCTTTTGTTGTTTCCATAGCACTCACCACTACCTGATATTATTTCGTTTATTTATTCCTTTGCTGGTTTCTTGAGAGTTTACTCTCCACTAGGATCTTGCTTGTCTTATTTCCTGCTTTATTCCAACATCCAGCATATGGTCAGTGTTCAATGTCTAGATGGAAGAAATTATAGCTATCCATATGCAATACCATAAACTTCAGTTGCTCTTGTTATAACAACACGATGGTTGGTTTTCAGTACACAGTTAGACCATAGGAAAAGAGTCCAGCTCTCCAGTTAGTTGAGCCTGTGAGTTAAACTTCTGAATTTTGGGCACATCTCAAGATCTACAAGTGGTGACTTAGGTATTGTGGGCTACTCATCCATGAGCCACAGTCTTTTCCCTGGTGCTCTGTACGCCCTAGGCTCAGAGTGGGAGGTCCAGAGAATGCATCAGTGTCATCAAGACACGAAAGAAGATGGGCAGGAAGAATAACAGAATGCTCTTCATCCTCCCCTTCAGCAGACTTTGCTTAGGTATGTTGAACAGAGTGAGACGGAGGCCCTGAGGGAAAGGTATGTGGGAGAAAAAAAAAACCTTAGACCCGGCTCTAGAACTTAATAGAGAAGATTGAAGAGTAAGAGCCATGCATTGCAGCTTATGCATTTTGTGCTATGTATTCTAAGAAACATTACAGAAAGTGTTAGGAAACTGGATAAGGATGTAGTCCTGCAAAGGAGAGACGAGGAAAGAGCACCACTGAAAGAAACCATGAACCACAACGCTTCTGTAGAAATCATTTTCAGATGTTTCTAACTTGACAGCTCCTTCACAACTTTTTCTCTATCTGCTTACCTCTTTTTCACCTCACCACCACTCAGGTCAGCTTTCAATCTGATGAGCTTGCTTAAAGTGGACTAGTTTGTAAGAAAAATCTCAACAGTTTCCTCTTGATGTATATACAAATTAAAGCTGGATGGGTTTGTTTAACAACGATGACATCAGAGTTTAGATTTGGAGATCTTAACATGCAGTCATAAAATTTCAGAGCAGGAAATGGAGCCTATATGTGAAAAAAATCATCTCAAGTGCAACTTTCCTTAGTCTATGATCTGCACCTACAGTCCTAATCATCCTATGAGTTCTGATGAGTATAAAGATATTTATGCATTATATTTTTAAGGACCCATAGAAGGGTAGGCTGGAAGTAAATGGTCAAGTGTCCAGGCATGGAGGTCTCTGTCTCACTGCCCTTGACTGTATCCACAGGATGAAGAAAAGCCAACTGGAAGGAGTAAGATGTGGCAAGTATGTCTGAGAACTGGCATTTCATAAATAATTACTGCTGCCTTTAGTTCTCTGCGAGTTACGGATAAACATCTTTCCCCCTTAAACCTCTTTTCTCCTTCCCTGCTATTATTTAATGTCTGAGTCTTACTTATTAAGTAGATACTAGGATTAATAAAATATAGTCACTCCCTTAGATGCTCTTAAACTGAATGGGGGCAGGTAGTCATGTAAAGGGATAATAATGACCCCTTCTTGGAAATGACCTGATAAACCACTTCACACTAACACTAATGACTAGTAGGTAATAGTATAAGCTATTGATTAATATCTCCTAGGGACTTCTGCAACCAAATAGGGGATGGTGCCTTAACACATTGAATTTTGTGTGACTTCAAATGTTTGCATTCTCACTATCATCATCGATCATGGTTCATATTTCAATATAGCGTAAAAAACTGGGAGTATCCAAGCCTCCCAGCAGAGTTACAAAGCAGAAGGGAACCTATTTTAAGAGTGGCAGAAAGCTGCTCTACCCCACCCAAAATACTGCCCCTGCCAACGTTTTGCTGATGTTCTCAATTCAAACTCTTTATAATGAGGCGTTTTTTTAAAATAAATGCACAACGTGGAGCAATAGATCATTTTATGGTATCATCTAGTTACAGATCTACTGAAAACAACTTGGTACAATTTGTGCTCAATCCAGTTTAAATGACTAATCCTGACAGCGTGCCATATCTCCCCCAGTACCAGAAGAAGGGTGGAAAGGAAACGTAGCAGAGAGCTATAATCTAAGTAACCTCAGCCTTTAATAGGTATAATATTAAACCACAAGAGTACATCCTATAATAATATTAGAATTAGCCCTAGACAGGAATGTATTTCTACTCCAAGCTCTGTTAATTATCTAGCCTCATGGCCTTGGACAAGTCACAAAACTCTCTGACTCTTGCAGTTCTCATCTATAAAAAAGACTATTACGTTCAGTGAATCCAAGGTCTGATCTATCTCTAACCTTGCAGAGTAGCTAATGTCTATGGAGTACTCGGAACAAAAAAATCCTCTGGACTCTCTCTGGACTTATCAGTTAAGTTTTTTCCTTTTGTATGTCCAAATTGCAGTTTGTTTGTTTGGTTTTTACTAATATTTGAATGAACTTGACAACTTACCAAATAAATTGTCAGAAAGAGAAAATTCATCTGTGGCAGGTAAGTGGGAGTGTTCAATGAGATTCATTTTTGATCCCATCCAAACTTTTCTACTTGAGAATATATTACCTTCGTTATGGTGGTCTTCAAAAAAATCCCCTGAAAGGTAAATAAATACATAGAGTGTTGGGGAGGGTGGGGAGATGATTAAGAAAGAGAGGGAGAGACAGAGCAAGCTAATTTTAACAAGCACAAAAGACTCCATTTGTAGACATTTTATAGTAGCTTTTCTTTACATGTCTTTCCTTGATAATTACCATTTTTACACTCATTTGGACTTACAAATGTCTAAGATATATGCTTTCAGAATAGATACTCTCTAATTTATCTGGGAAAACACCATATGTTTTCATTTGTTTCAGCACTTGGTAGATTTGGGCAAGATATGATGATATTTTGGATATGTCTATTTTATGTATAGAAAAAAGAGAAACAAATATAAAAGCCTTGATTAAAAATGGGGTGAATCAATAATTTATCTTAAATTTTACACTAAAGATGAACAGGTCTTTGCAAGACACAAAAATTGTTTCAGATCACTTCCTACCAGAATTTTTCATTTTCTTTTTTGGCTGTGCTGTGCAGCTTATAGGATCTTAGTTCACCAACCAGGGGTTGAACCCACACCCTCAACAGTGGAAGTATATAGTCTTATCAACTGGAAACTGATCACCAGGAAATTATTATCACCAGGAAATTCCTTGGAATTTTCTTAAGTTGAGTAGGCATCATATTAGCAGATAAAAAATTCAGAAGATGTTCACCCAAGATCTTTATTTTTGCCTTTTAGAGAAAATTTAAGGGGCTTACATTTTCATTCTCATGGTCTACCTTGTCATGTATTTAATCTAGGGTAAAAGAAGCTATGGCAAGAAGAAAAATAGTGGTAAATATCACCCAAATGTCGGAAGTTTCATCCTGAGAAGACGTCCAGAGTATATCCAAAAACCCAAGAGATGCGGTGTTCACTTTTACCTATATTTCTGGTTCTTCCTTCCTTCCTTCCAGTATGTCTTCTACCCCCTGAAAAAGTAATGAAAAAAGTTGAATAATGAAAAGGTATGTTCTCAGACACTTTTTCCAAGGCCATCTCCTGAGGATGGTTTTTAAACTTTTAATCCTGTCTTTACCAAGAAATCATTTCATTTACAGATAACTACTTATATTTACAACTCAGAAAGAGAATACAGGGGGTTTGTTGGGCAAATATTTATTTCACTAGAACTTCCTTACTATTCACAGCTCTCTGTTTCCTCCTCACTCAGCAAGATGTTCCAGATCAATCAGAAGTGACAGTTCAAGCAGATATTTGGCTGCTGGTAAGGTAGTCCACCAGACTACATTTGTTGTATGCAGTCATTTATTCATGTTTTCAACAAATATTTATTGAGGAGCTATTCTGAACTAAGCTCTGTGCTGAATCTTTGAAAATAAAATAACAGTAAAAATATCATCCAAGATCTTTGATATCAATCTTAATGAGGAATAGAGACATTAAAAAACAATCACAGGAATACACAGATGATTACATGTTGTCTTGAAAGCTGCTGATGAAGGCATAGATGAGGATGTTATAGTGGGGACCAACCTGTATTAGATTCAAGAGGTATTCTCACCACCCTAAAGTCAGGAGGGAAAGGGGTGTGAAAAGGAGTGAAGATAGGGAAGTAGCTGGAGGAAAATGTGTGGTTTCGAGGGCAATTTTTAAAGACAAGCAATAATGAGAAAACAGAAAGAGAAATTAAGGAAACAATTCCACTCACCATTGCAACAAAAAGAATAAAATACTTAGGAATACATCTACCTAAAGAAACAAAAGACCTACTTATAGAAAACTCTAAAACACTGGTGAAAGAAATCAAAGAGGACACAAACAGATGGAGAAATATACTGTGTTCATGGATCAGAAGAATCAATGTAGGGAAAATGAGTATACTATCCAAAGCAATCTATAGATTCAATGTAACCCCTATCACGCTACCAACAGTATTTTTCAGAGAACTAGAACAAATAATTTCACAATTTGTATGGAAATACAAAAAACCTAGAATAGCCAAAGCAATCTTGAGAAAGAAGAATGGAACTGGAGGAATCAACCTGCCTGACTTCAGTCTCTACTACAAAGCCACAGTCATCAAGACAGTATGGTACTGGCACAAAGACAGAAATATAGATCAATGGAACAGAATAGAAAGCCCAGAGATAAATCCACTCACCTATGGACACCTTATCTTTGACAAAGGAGGCAAGAATATACAATGGAGAAAAGACAATCTCTTTAACAAGTGGCGCTGGGAAAACTGGTCAACCACTTGTAAAAGAATGAAACTAGAACACTTTCTAACACCATACACAAAAATAAACTCAAAATGGATTAAAGATCTAAATGTAAGACCAGAAACTATTAAATTCCAAGAGGAAACATAGGCAATACACTCTCCGACATAAACCACAGCAGGATCCTCTATGATCCACCTCCCAGAATATTGGAAATAAAAGCAAAAATAAACAAATGGGACCTAATTAAAATTAAACCTAATTTAAACCTAAATTTAAAATTAATTTATTAATTAATGGGACCTAATTTAAAATTAAAATTAAAATTCCTTCTGCACAACAAAGGTAAGCAAGGTGAAAAGACAGCCTTCAGAATGGAAGAAAATAATAGCAACTGAAGCAACAGACAAAGGATTAATCTCAAAAATATACAAGCAACTCCTGAAGCTCAATTCCAGAAAAATAAATGACCCAATCAAAAAGTGGGCCAAAGAACTAAACAGACATTTCTCAAAAGAAGACATACAGATGGCTAACAAACACATGAAAAGATGCTCAACATCACTCATTATCAGAGAAATGCAAATCAAAACCACAGTGAGGTACCATTTCATGCCAGTCAGAATGGCTGCTATCCAAAAGTCTACAAGCAATAAATGCTGGAGAGAGTGTGGAGAAAAGGGAACCCTCTTACACTGTTGGTGGGAATGCAAACTAGTACAGCCACTATGGAGAACGGCGTGGAGATTCCTTTAAAAACTGGAAATAGAACTGCCATATGACCCAGCAATCCCACTGCTGGGCATATACACTGAGAAAACCAGAATTGAAACAGACACGTGCACCCCAATGTTCGTTGCGGCACAGTTTATAATAGCCAGAACATGGAAGCAACCTAGATGTCCATCAGCAGATGAATGGCTAAGAAAGCTGTGGTACATATACACAATGGAGTATTACTCAGCCATTAAAAAGAATACATTTGAATCAGTTCTAATGAGGTGGATGAAACTTGAGCCTATTATACAGAGTGAAGTAAGCCAGAAAGAAAAACACCAATACAGTATACTAACGCATATATATGGAATTTAGAAAGATGGTAATGATAACCCTGTATGCAAGACAGCAAAAGATACACAGATGTATAGAACAGTCTTTTGGACTTTGTGGGAGAGGGCGAGGGCAGGATGATATGGGAGAATGGCATTGAAACATGTATATTATCATATGTGAAACAAATCACCAGTCCAGGTTCAATGCATGGGACAGGGTGCTCGGGGCTGGTGCACTGGGATGACCAGTGGGATGGGATGGGGACGGAGGTGGGAGGGGGGGGTTCAGGATGGGGAACACATGTACACCCATGGCAGATTCAAGTCAATGTATGGCAAAACCAATACAATATTGTAAAGTAAAATAAATAAATTAATTAATCAATTTTTAAAAATTAAGAAAAATAAAAACAAAATTAAAATAAAGACAAGCAATTCCAGGTCACATCTAGAATACACCAGAGAGGTTGAAGAAACAGGAGAGAGCAGCTCCTGAGGAATGATACAAGCTGTGTCCACTGTGGGACCACAGACATACCTGAGGCCATCTGGTGAACCACTGGCCTGGTCCTACCAAAGTCTACTGTCCAATAAGCCAAGGGGCTTGTTAGGAGAAAACTCATCCTAAAGTCAGAGGGAACTGGGAAACATGATCTTCACCTCAAAGTAAAGCCTCAGTCCTTAGAGGAATGTGTAATCCTCAATGTGGCACAGTGTTTGACCAACCTGTATTAGATTCAAGAGGTATTCTTGACACTCTGAGGTAAGAAGGGAGAGGGGTATAAATAAAAATGAGTCTGGAAATATTGAACTGTAAGATAGAACTTCCAAAAGAATGAAACAGGGAGGAGAGAGCTCATCTCACTTCCATCCCCACCTTCAAACAACTGCAACATATCGTAGCCACAGAAGCATTGACTCCAAGGGGACTCTGGGCCTTTCTGGGGCATCTGTGAAACAGTGGTACCATCTAGGTATCACCATAACCCATGGAAACGTGCCCAGCAGAGGAATTGTGACCATTGGTTGGGTGCTGCTTTCCCCCATAAACACAAAAAGTAACAGAAGCAGCGGCCAGAGTAGACTTGATGATGAACAAACATAAAGAGACCGCAGGGCATTCCTAAAACATCTGCAGGGAGAGGAGGGCTTTGATAAGGAACTAGAAGTCCTGAGGAGTAAACCAGTAAAAGTTCAGTTGTCACTACTGATGGGACCACATTCATACTCACATGCTAGCTGCGTGTGTGCGTGTTCAGTTTTGTCTGACTCTTTGTGACCCCGTGGACTATAGCCCGCCAGGCTCCTCTGTCCATGGGATTTCTCAGGCAAGAATACTGGAGTGCGTAGCCTTTCCCTTCTCCAGGGGATCTTCCCAATCCAGGGATTGAACTTGCATCTCATCCTTGGTAGGTTGATTATAGTGATCCTATAGGATCACTAGACTCCCCTTGGAGTCAAAGCTTCTGTGGCTACGATATGTTGCAGTTGTTTGAAGGTGGGGATGGAAGTGAGATGAGCTCTCTCCTCCCTGTTTCATTCTTTTGGAAGTTCTATCTTACAGTTCAATATTTCCAGACTCATTTTTACTTGCATCTCATCCTTGGTAGGCTGAGCCACCTGGGAAACCCCTGATTAGGTAACAACAAAAATCTCCCAGAATCCAGACAGTTGACTAAGTCTGCTCAAATCAGGTCTGTTGGTTATGATT